CCTGTATTTAAATGGCCGTTGTCTGGAAAGCATCTGGTGCTGCTGACCTTCATTCATCGTGGACTTCATGAGCCTTTAGTGCCCTCTTGTGGCCTTTCCCCAAATATAAGTGAGTGTTGTTTTTGTGCAGACTTTATTTCCTATACAGTATTTGGTAGGCCTACAGCCTGTAGTTACGGCTTCATCAAATCATTTTCATTAGTTTATGAGGACTTAAAGTAGTATTTGCTGAAAAGAAAAGAGCAAATCTGACACTACTGTTATGTTTGGGTAGTTTGTGATTTCTTGCTCCCTCAAGTGGCAGAAAGCAGAATTTCACATTAATGTAACTGCTTTTTTCTCACATTTCCTCTTCAATGCTGCACTGTGTCATGTGCCTTCACACAGTGGTTGAATATAACTAAGTACCTTTATTAAAGTTCCCTACTGAAGTAATATTTGACATAATTTTCCTTTATACTTAAACTCTGTAATTTGTACTTAACTGTATATATTTAACACTCAGGTACTAGTTACTTTTTACATATATAAACACATGAAATACTATATGATAAGATGCAGTATGTTACAAATTATAAACCCAGTATTTTTGAAAGTATCTATAATTGGCTCCACATTGACAAACTACAACTTTTAAGTGCTAGGAATTTGTAATGATAAAAAACAGGATACTATAATAACCATAATAATATAATGTTGTGGAAAGAGCCATTCTGTATAACATGCACTTTTTATTTTTCTGATAATAGTTTTACAACGTATAATCTGTTCTGGTATTGGCCATTGTGCAGAGTGAGTCATTTTACTTTTTGTACTTCAAGTATATTTGGAAGCAATCATTTTTTACTTTTACATACGCAACATTTTGAATTCAGGACTTTTACTGAAAACCATAGTATTTCCACTTTTACTTAAGTTAAGGGTCTGAATACTTATTCTCACACTAGATTCACAGGTCACCTTGTTCAGATTGTATGAATACATTATATAACATGAAAACATGTACACATACAAATCGTTTTGTTAAAAGACTTGGTTCAACAGAAACAAAGACAAAACCTTTTCTAACTAACGTATTTAATACTTCCTAAATGACCAGAAACAGATTTAAATTAGTTTGGGGTAATTATAGTAATTCAACTGCTGATTTTAAATGTTATTTTGTAATGCATGGTACCATAAAATACATTTAGTGTCCTGCATGTTGTTCTGGTGGAGGCAGAATACTCAGTTAAATCTGAACATCTGGATGAAAAAACACAGATAGATTATTTTCACTTGAGAAAAGGAGACTGACAACTGACTTTGATCAGAATCATTTTATTGTTATATTTGCTTCAACATTTTTTTTTTCTTCATAGGATCTGACAACATATCATTTTAGTTGGTTTCCATTATGCACACAACTTTATGTTTGTCAACCTGAATACAAGTAACAAAAAAAAAAAGGATATAGATGTTAAACTATTGATATATATTTTTCAACTTTCTTGTCTCTGGATCAACTTTTAATATATCTGAAAATATCAATACCATGATCAACAGCATTCTCTGCTGTTGGCTTGTTTAGATGATATTTAATCTACAGCAACAAGTCAGTTACACCAACATCAACATTTCTTATTCACTGACTTAACTTCAAGTAAACAAAAAAGTAGAGCATATTAAAGAATAATGAGTACATGTTAGAAAACATCTGTTTCTCATGGTCTCTGTACTTTAAGCTCTAAGGATGCAATAAGTGTTGAAAATAAGAAGAATATTAATAGTAAGTAAAACACGATTTAATCACACGGTCTTTGTACGACACAGACCCACAACATCATAGTGTGCACACAGCATAATGTTCTTTAAGCTAATTATTTGAAAAGAATAAAACAAATGGAATATTTAAAAGTAAAATATAAATGAAAAGATAAATGTCTTGCATGAAACTATAACAGTACAAATATTAAAATAGTGATGCCCTTAGATAACATCTGTCTCATGGCCTTTGTGCATTAAGCAAAGTTGAATAATAAAACAAAACATGTAAATAGTTGAGTAAGTAATAATAAGTAGTACAAATAAAAGTAGATAAAACATGATCTCATCACTAGTCTTTGCCTACATCATCATGTTGTGCACACGGCATTGAGAGTTTTTAAAAAATATTATAAAAAAACATTAATATAAATGATAAAAATGTCTTGCATGAAACTATAACAGTAAACATATTGGAGACATATGAGACAACATCTGTTTCTCTGTTCTTGTATTTTAACATCATCAACAACATCAGCTTCTTTATATTTGTGCACTAGTCTTTATGAAAAGAGCAATCATCAAAAAATAAACTCGTGTAATCTGAGCAATCAGTCCTTCTTTCTGACTTGTTCATCACATCATTATCCGTTAAAAGAATGAAAATCAAAAGTTTCTCATCAACAAGATGTGAAGGATGCCACAGTATTTGCACATGAAGCAAAAGGTCATCAACATGCACTTACTGTACTTCAACTGAGGCTGGCTTATGTACTCTCCAAGAACACTTCAACGTTTATATTTACAATAAATGTTGAATAATAAAATGAAAAATGAAAAACTGTGGAGAAAGTAATACTAAGTAGTAAAAACAAACACAAACATGATCTCATCACATGGTCTTTAGACATCATTGCATGAACACAAGGAATGAATAAAACAAGAAAACAATTTCATTTGTATCGTTATGTATTATTCTCAGACTGGTATGAAATACATTTTTCCTCCTGGTTGTTATCTGCAAAACTTGTTACTTAAAAGCTCAAATGTGAAGCAACACATGAGTCATGTGGAAATTTACATCACAAAACATCTCTTTGTCTCCAACACGGTCTTTGTAGTAAAGCATTTCATCATTGACATCTCTTTGTTGTGCACTCCAGTTATAACGCACTACGTTTAACAGTTTACTGAAAATAAATGTAGCAGTCAAAAAACTAAAATGACAAAAACAAAATAACATGATGTCTTTCTTCAGGTGGACTATGACGTACATCATTTTCAGAATCATTGTTGTTACGCCAGTCATTACACCCAGAGGAAAACAACATCTTGAAAATAGAAGAAAAAAAAAACAATAAAGATTTAAAGAATTGTTCCTCTTTTTTGTTAGCATTATCATCAGCATACCAATCATTGTCCATGAGGTCTTATTGAAGATTGATGAAGGAAAACAAAACATTTGTAATGTTAAAAAGAACACGCCACACATAACTATCTTTTGAACTTCTCTGCAACTTCTTAAAATCAACAGTTGTCAATAATAGTGATCGTCAAACCCCAGGATGCCACTAAAGATCACGGTGCAGTCAACTTTATCACAACAGTGTTCATCTGTTCTGTGTTTTTGCCCTGGCGTGTTCAGTTCCTGTTTCCTTCTGGTTGTCTCTCTCTTGTTAAAGAGATTTTGCAGGTTTGTCTTTAATGTTGAAGGCTTCCTTCAAGCCTTTCAGTGCTTGTTCCTTTGTAATTTTCCTCCATGCTTCTGGAACATCAGCTGGCTTGGCGTTATATTCTTTGGCAAATCTCTCATTGTATTTAACCAGGACATACTTCCAGTAGTCAGATGCCTCCCTGGTGTAGTCTGGAGGAATGAGCCATTCTGAGTAGATCGTGCTGTAGTCCTTGTAAGGATGCCACTCTCCATTAGTGGCTGCACATCTGAATTTACGCTCACTGTGAACATCAGTTGTGCACAGTGTTTCCACTAGCTTCTCAGTGGCTTCCATCTGTATCTACCGAGACCTTGTGGCCGATGAACACTGCAACATGTTTATGTTCTTTGCCTCCGGCTTCACAAGGAACTTTACAAAATGGACATTGTTGTCCACAACCACACACCCGATTGAAAAGCTCATCCTCTGGTTTGGTTGGAAGTTTGTTCACAGTCTCTGTGATGTCTTCAGATGTTGAGAACTCCTCCTGCAGCTGTTCATTCATTTTACTCAATGATTTGACGAGGCTCTCTTTAAATGGATGGCATGTGCTTTGGATTTGAAACAGGGCGGTTTTTTGAGCCTCTTCTGAAAGAGAGACATCTTTGGTCAAAAATGTGCGCATGTTTTTGATGAGCTCTGTGATGCTTTCCTTGTTATCTGGCAGCAGGACACCATCCTCTCCTTTTGAGGCCCTTTCAGTTGCATCTGTTATTTTGTTAACTATGACTTTCAGATTCTCACTTTTCAGTTTGCATAAAGCTTTATCCTCTGACATTTCTTGCAAGATGTGCTGAAATATCAAATCCTTTACATATATTTCATATTTACGAATGAACTTGACAAAACTCTGAAAGTCTTCCTTTTGCAGCAACTCTTTCTGAATGTTGTACTGGAAAAAGTTTCGTGAACTGTACTCTGCTGAATGGCGGCCTGCCAAAACTTGATCCACAATGTTAGTTCCCAGATGTCTACTGATGTACTCTTCCACAGCAGGTTTGATACAAAGTCTGACAAAATCATCTGCTTTGCGTTGGCAATCATCTCTCTTTTTGTATAGATCGATAAAATCCAACAAGTACTGTGGCCTGTACTTCTCCAGCTGAATTCTGGGATCCCTTGCTGACAAGAAATGTTTGTGCATTTGAAGGAACTCTCTTGAGGCAATGCCACAAATGTGAAGTTTCAGGTCAATCTCAAACTTGGGCTGGAAAGTGTTTCCTGTAAGGGATTCATCTACCTTTTCCAAAAGATCCTTTGTAAAAGAGTCATGGTAGTCTGCGTCGGTTTTTGCAATACCACGTACAGACCGTCTGCAAGACTCAATGACAGTGTCTGCAAAACTCTGCAACTCTCTCTTTAATTCTTCTTTTTGCCAGACTGCCATACCTTTCCAACCTACTTTTACATGTTCAGATTTGATCATCAATTGATTCTTTCCTATGTCCTTTAGGTCTGTAATGTTCTGTAATTCCTCATTGAAGTTACGATTTGAGAAATGTATCCTCAACTGTTAAGGATTTTCAGATATGTTTAGTTCTTTCAGGCCAGCACGTTTGCTGTGACTTTTGTCCACATCTGTTGAAAGTCACGTTTCAACTGTTCATCAGAAAGTCTGCGGTGTTCGCGATCACTCAAGAGTTTCATTACTTCTTTTTCAATCATTTCTCTGTGTTTGCTCTGAATGTCCTGAGCCTCTTTTGAACTTTTTTTTTCGTGAAGCGCAAAATCCAATGCATTGTTTACCGAATGTTGGAATTCGACTTTAAGACTTTTGTTACGGTTGATAAAGTCAATTTTGTATTTCTCTATCAGATTCACGTGTATGTCTTTCCTTTTGTAGTAGTCATCAAGTTTATTCTCCATTTCTTTTTGTTCTTCTATTTTCTGCAACAACTGTGATTTTTTTGAGGCAACCAATATCTTCAAAGTTTCCACATGAGTTTCATTGTCAGAATTTAAGATCTCTAACTTTGCCCCATCCTGCCAAAAGATCAAGTCTTTTTTGAACTCCCATTCCCATTCACTGAACTCCTTGCAAAGGTTGTCATAAGCCTGAGCCACGAGAGTGTTTCTGAAACTGAAGATGAAGTTCTCATATTTGACTGCTTTCCAGAGACTTCTTACCCATTCTAGAAACTGTGGAATCCGTGAAACATCACCGGTTTTGTCTTTTTTCACTGTCTCCAAGAGGTTTTTCTTGAAATCTGCTACAGCTTCGCTGTAACCTGTGTTCACTGATGCCATCGGTGGAGTCCCATGCCAGAGTCCGGGGATGTTCCAGTTGTTTTCTTTTATGTCATAGTCCAGCACATCTGTGAATCTCTTTATAGAGGGATGCTTTTCCATTTCAGCAGCAATTTCTGTCATTTCATTGAGTTGGTCCAAGAGATGCTGTCTCTCCGTCAAGGTCCTTTCATGAGCGGAGACTCCAGCAACATTCTGGTGAACAAAATGACAAATTGGCCTTCTACCAATTTCCTTCATTCTCAGGAATGCATGGATTGCAATTTGCACGTCTTTCATTTCTGTGGAGTTCTCTGAAGCAACATTGATAATTGTCACATCACTTAAACCAATGACAAAGGTTGCCAGCTGGTTGTCATGCTCATAACTGTCTTCTAGTTGTGCCAACTGAGGAGCCTTGAGGCCCTCTGTGTCAATGAGAACTATGAAGTCACAGTTCAGCTGGTGTTGCATATCATCACTTACTCTGAGGAAGAGCATATACGCTCCTCTTGTGCATCTGCCACTGCTGACTGCAAACTGCACACCGAACATGGTGTTGAGGAGTGTTGACTTCCCGGTGCTCTGAACACCCAACACGGTCAGTACCAACAGTCTGCTCTTCTCTCCAACCTTCCTGTGTAGCTCCATTAGTACATCTGTCACCCATTTCTCTGGGATGTTGGAAGCATCTCCATCCAAGAGCTCTAAAGGATATCCATCCAACAGCAGTTCAGCTGCCAAACCAGGGAGACGATGTACTTCATCAGCAGAGTTTTGAGAGGAAAACTCATAGATCAGTCCCATCTCTCTCATGTAATGCTCTAACCCTAAAGAGCTTTCCAGCATCTCCTGATCCAGCTTCTTAATCTCTTTCACATCTTTGTTCTCTTCGTTGATTTTGTCTTTCCACTGATGGCGGAGTGAAGATAGCTGATCCCGGGAATGTGCATCCAGTTTGAGTTTCATCCACTTAAGGAAAAAATCTCTGCTCTTGCTGTCATTTTCATTTTTAGGTAACTGTTTAATGAAAGTCTCCATATCATCTGATAGTTTCTGTTTGCCAAGCTTCTCCTTGATTTGTTGTCTTTCTCTCTGCAGCTGAGATTTATATTCTTCAGGTGCTAGGTTACCATGTGTTTTCAAGCTACATTCCTTTTTCTCTAACTGCGATAACCTTTTCCAGTCAGCGCCTTGCAGAGGAAGCTGTTTTCTCTTGTAATCTGGTATCTTCTGCGCCCTAATTCCTTTGACAAGCTTTTCAGCGGTTTTCTTTTGGTCATCACTTGTGTATTCGTCCACAGACAGACCAAAATCAACAGCTTTCTGAACCATATTTTCAATGCTCATTGGTAGTGTTCCAACTGTTATCTTGTTAATGGCGGCAGAAAGTTTCTCTGAAAACTCCACAACATTTACTCTTGGGTCTTTAACTTTCACACTGCTGTTTGGCAAACCTAATTCTTTCACTGTTTTCCTGACAGACTCCATGTCCTCTTTGCACTTCTATCCTTGCGGTTAACAACCAAGAACAGTTTGGATTTCACATCTTGAAGAGAAGTCAGAATCTCATGCTCCTCTTTTTCAATTTTGTCCAGGAAAACAAAGGTAGCAGTTGACACTTGAAACAGAAAAGTGAACTGAGCAAGTGACTCAGAAATGTTTCCTCTCAGATTGGCGAAGGCAATTGGGTCTGGAAATACATCAGGATGTTCTCTGCCTCTGGGAAGGTACCAGCACACCTCAGCCAAGCCATTGGCAATGTGTCTTTCAATTGCTCCTCCTTTCATGTCTCTGTGTATGAAGTAATTGTGATTCTGCTGGCCAAGGCTGAGAACTTGATTCAAAATCTGGGACTTGGACAGAGTACAGTTCTTGAGCCTCACAAAGGAAAATAATGGTATCTTTGCTTGGACAATGTGGTTTTCAACAAAGCCTCTTGATTCAGACAGGTGGGGACACCACTCTTGACAATGTCCCTCAGAGCCCAAAGCATCAGGGTACTCTGACTGTTATTGACATGGGGCATCAGCAGTGGGACAGAAAACTGGCACATTGACATCTTGAGGGCCATTTCCTGTTGCAAGAAGCTGTCAGCACAAAGGAAGAGTGCTGTTACGAGGTCGAGAGGGTTAACCCTATCGTCTGCAGATTCATCAGCAGTGAAAGGATCACGATCAAAGGGATCACTGCTTTCTTCCTCATCATCACTGTTTGATCCTTGTGTACAGCCCCTGCATTCTGCATTGAGTTTAAATAGTTTACTGAGAAAGCACCAAGGTATTTTCTGTACTGATGAGGCAAGCTTCTTCATTATGCTGTTTTTGTTGATCTCCAATAGAGACCGAAGAGTGAGCTTGTTGGGATAAAATGTCTCCAGTCCCAGTTTGGAGAGAAAGGTGATTAGGACTGTTAAAGAGAAAGAGAAGGTCATATTTAGATATTAGGCAGCCCTTAATGGATTATATATGGATGTTTCCTCGAGGTCTGACGTGCTGAAGGCATTTCCTTTCTCAATTCAATTCAATTCAAAACCTTTATTTATCCAGGTAAAATCCCATTGAGATCAAATGATCTCTTTTTCAAGGGAGACCTGCAGCAGTAGGTTCCACAAGAAGACATCAAAACATAAACAACAGAACAACAAAAGGACATCATACAGCAAAATGTACAGGGATTACAATTTACATATTTAACACAAGTACAAGATACCAACAGCATCTGATTTTGTAGCATCCAACCGAGCTTTAAAAACATGTAGTGGTACTAGCTTGGTAATTTTCCATTCTTTTTGCAGACTGTTCCATGTTTAGTGGAGCTGCACATCTAAAAGCTTTCTTCCCTAAGACAGTCCTAGCACTTGGCACATTTAATAAAACCACAGCATGCGATCTCAGGCAATAAGTACTTTCAATTCGCCGAGAGATCAGGGGAGCAGATATAAGATGGTAGTTTATCCAACATGGCTTTGTAAATGAAAAAAGTACCAGTGACTGAGCCTCCGTACAGTAAGTGATGGCAAAACCGCCTTGGTATACAGGGTACAGTGATGCGTAAGTGCTTTACAATTTGTCAAAAATCTCAGTGCACTGTGATACGCAGCATCTAACTTGCTCAGGTAATTGGCAGGTGCATTCATATATAACAATCACCATAGTCCAGCACAGGTAAAAAAGGTCACAGTGACTAGCCTTTTCCTGGCCTCAAGCGAGAACAGGACTTGTTTCTAAAAAAGAAACCTAGCCTAACCCTCAGCTTTTTAAGCAGGTTATTGACATTAAGTTTAAAAGTGAGACAGTCATCAAGCCAGATACCCAAGTATTTGTAACAGGTAACCACTTCAAGTTGTATTCCTTGCGTAGTTACAATATCCAAAGCAGTCTCTGGTGTATTTTAGCTTTAGCTTTAGGAAAAGAGCATTACCTTGGTTTTATCCACATTTAAAAGAAGCTTAAGCTCAGAGAGCTGAGCCTGAATATGTTAAAAACAGCCTGTAATTTAACAACAGCCTCGTTAATCGAGGGACCTGCACAGTACATCACGGTATCGTCCGCATAAAAATGTAAGGATTGCTCCTTCGACATTTTCACCTAAACTATTAATATAGATTAAAGAATAATAGCGGACCTAAAACTGAACCTTGTGGTACACCATTAGTGATGTTTAACCACTCAGAAGACAACCCATCAAAGTGAACACATTGGGATCTTTCAGAGAGGTAGTTTACAAACCACCCTACTGCATGGCTGGACATGCCTATACTGACCAGCCTTTGCTTCAAAATGCGATGATCGACGGTATCAAAAGCTTTGGATAGGTCAACAAATAGAGCTGCACAACTCTGCTTATTATCTAAAATACTCGTAATATCATTTACCACTTTCATTGTGGCAGTGATGGTGCTATGTTGCTTTCTGAAGCCTGACTGATGTTTAGACAGGATGTCATTGTTACATAAAAACTCCTTTACCTGTTCACTCACTAGGCGTTCAAGAACCTTAGCCAGAACTGACAATTTAGAGATGGGTCTATAATTGTTTAATAAGGTGGCCTCCCCTCCTTTAGTAGTGGCAGGACATAAGCTGACTTCCATACTTTGGGATTTTGTTCGTGCTGAGGGAGAGGTTAAAAAGAGTAGTAAGAGGTGGAAGCAATAAAATCTCAGCTATCTTTAAAAAGAAAGGTTCTACGTTGTCCGGACCAGCCGGCTTTTTAGGATCTAGCTTGGTTAAGACTTCACGAACAACATCAACAGTAAAAGGAGTAAAACTGAAGGGTGTTTTCCAGACCACATTGTTCTGAGTCACAGACTGTGGTGTTCACAGAAGCAGAATTAGAAACAGAATGAAACAGAGAGGCCACAGGACACAAAATGCTCATTAAAACAATTTAGTATGGTGGTCCTATCCGATATAGTGCCAGATGCTGTGGTAAGGCACGGAGGTAGCTCATTACGGATATCACCGGTGGATATCGATTTTATGATTCAACAGTAAAATTTACTGGCGTTCATTTAACATAAAGCCTTTTTTTCATTATTTTAAAAGTGTGGATTATTGTACATCCATGTTTGCAATGCTTGCAGAATTGTTTATTTTGTTGGATTACACTGGATTGCACATCTCCAAGATCTGTGAATCATTTGAATCTCTGTGATTTTGTAGTTTCACAATTCTAAGAGATCAAAGATGTATTAGTTATTTATGTGGTCATTTTTACACTTTATATACATCTTAATACATCCTTTAACAATTTCATGTGTACTTCTATATACAGTACGTCAGTAAACATCAAAGTTGAGTGAATGGGGGAATTACCTGCATGTTCTTCACCTGTGTTTGTAGACCATGGTCTGACTTTTCCTTCACTCTCCTGTGCTTGGAAACCTAAAAAAGGTACAACAAATAAAGCTTATTTTTTCATTTTGAGTAGCCTACTTTTATTTTCAAAGACGTAACACATTGTGTTATTGCTTATTCATTGCAGATCAGTTGCAATTATAAAGAACAAACTACTGTTTGAATGAAGCAAAACCAATGTCCTTATTTAAAACCGCTGCGCTAACTGCCAATATTTGTCACAAGTTTGCTTAGAGAAATATTATTAATATGTATAATGTGACCAAAGAGGGTGTGTCCTACTGTCTAGTGTAGCAATACAATTCTGATTTAGTCCGATTGAAGCATATCAATTAAAAAGTGTTTGCAGTAGCTATACGGTAAACACTGATGATATAACATTTAGTATTGCTACTTTTACTCAAGTACAAAAAGTACTTCTTTACAACACTGATAATGTCTCAGTTATCGGCAATCAAGCTTTGTTGGTCAAAGATCTTACAATGTTTATTTTCTAAGAACCACAAATGTGAATGCGTTCCATTGTCTGGCAGTGGAGCTTTTATCTATACATCGAGGTGTTAAAACCCCAACTCCCTGCTCAAAACAACAGTCAGAAAGCACAATTTGGTTCCCTGTGTGCACAAAGTGTAAGCAGAGTTCAACAGTCACCAAGTTCAAAGTTTCAATAGTCAATTAAATAATTAACTTAAACAAACAAAAACATCTTAAAGGGGCAGCTGTCAGTGAAGTTTATCACAGGCATTACCTGTTAAGCCTGGATTGCCCCCGTCCGCCAGTGGCAAACCATCAGGCCTTCAAGGTATTCAGAGAATACCCTGGAACACTCAGATAAAACAAACAAAAAATTGATTTAATTATATAAATAAAATGTATATAAAATGAATGAATGAGAATCGTATCTGTGTTGTTGATCAGTAATATTACAGTGTTACGTTGATTTGTTTGTCCTTCTCGGACCATGCACTACGCATTTCAGTGGGTTTGTGTTAGAAGAGAAAGCAACCAATCAGATCTTGTTCTGGGTCTCTGGGTAGAATATCCTTCAACCAAGGTATTCTACATCCTTGATAGAATGCCCTGGCCGTTGCACTGAATGAGAGCGTACGTTTGGACTGACAGTTTGATCAACCAATCATATATTGATTTGTAGCCAATGGGCGCATCATTTCAGAGTTTACCTCGGTTCCAGGGTATTCTAGAAGGCCCGCTAGTTAACTGGAGAGAGACAGAGGATCTAGATGAATGCGACGAAGCAATTCATGCTGTTTTATTGTTTTTAACGTTGAAATGACAAGTGCAACAGGTGAAGATGAAGTTGTTGCAGACTTGTTGTGAGTACCCTTTTCAAGACGACAGTTCAGTGAAAAGACGGACATTATAACCGTGTGTGTCTACAGAAGGTCCAGTTGCGATAGATACGGTTCGCCACTGCCGCCCGCATACTTCTGCACAATCAAGATATCAGATTAAAGCTGAGATTCCACCAATTCTAGAAGTATTAGTATCATCACTGTGCGATCAAAACTCGCAGTAGGAGAAGCAAACCCAGACATCACACGACATAGCTTTACGGAGCAAAAACGGCAAATAGTCTTACCTTTGCTGTTTTTCTGATCAAAAGTTGTGTTCAATGGCATTAAAACAATAAAAACGCTGCTGAAGGTTAATCCATAGGTTAATCCAATGTGTCTGTGTCACCTTGAAATTATTACTGATAATCCATCGTCATATTGATGGCAAAAACTGAGTTTTCATATATAGCTGCTATGATAGCTAGTGTATGACAGCTTCCGGTTTTTGGTATTCTGGCTGCGCATCACTCTATTCACCAATGGGTAATGTTTAGATGGATTTTAGGAACTTCCCCTTGATTATATTGGCTCTAATGATTAAAAAGAGGTGTCAATCATCAAAATCGACTGATGGGTTCCAGAGATATGGAAAATACACCCAAATGACCCCAGATGTGAGTTTTTTTTTCTAAATCTCTCTATAAAGATAAAATGTCATTGTTTTGCATCAATCTTGATACAGGGTACTTATTATATGTGATATAAATGTTAACTATGTTCAATTTGAATTTACTCTCAAATAAAAAATAAAATATTGATTCTGACTTATCTACATCCAACTCACAGGTTTATTATTGCTTTGAGAAAAACGATTATTAATGTACCCCTTTTAGAAGGGAAGATATAGTCATTTGTTCTGGGAATGTCATTTTTCGAGCCTGAGGCCTGAAAAACAGGCTCAGGGGTTAACATGTTAAGAAAGATGCTGCAGTGATTTGGAGTCATTGGGTCACATAACGAGCAAATAAAAAATAGAAGGATTTTCAATACAGAAACGACTTAACGTGCTAAACAATAACCATACGTCATAGGTCCTGGATGGATATCCTCGTGGATTCATCTTCCTATTATACACACATGCATTTCCAAACATTTGGACTACCTATGTTGCAAATGTATTATCTTTTCAATTTACACACGGCATCTATTGCACGTCTGTCCGTCCTGGGAGAGGGATCCCTCCTCTGTTGCTCTCCCTGAGGTTTCTCCCATTTTTCCCTTTAAACTGTGGGTTTTCTTCGGAAGTTTTTCCTTGTACGATGTGAGGGTCTAAGGACAGAGGGTGTCGTATTGTCATACTGATATTCTGTACAAACTGTGAAGTCCAGAGACAAATGTACATGTGTGATATTGGAATATATAAATAACATTGATTGATTGATTGATTGATACAAAAAAACCGTAAAACATAAAAACATGTGTCCTACTTGTTATACAGTTCTGCATCAATACTGGGCCATCAGGTCAAACCATATGGAAGCTTTTGAAAAAATCCACATGTTTCAATGAAAGAAATGTTGATATATTATAATAACGTTAAAAAATTGTTTTAAGATTGGTCTAATAAACAGATGTGTGTCCCAATTATTGTGAATGAATACAATTAGGGCTGCAACAAAAGACTAATTTGATAATCGATTAATCTATCGATTAATGAAACGATGAATCGGCTATTCGGATTATGCCTTGCACAATTTCTCAAACGCTCTTATTTAGCCATCAACTTTTAGATTTAGCTTGAGGTTGTTTTTAGGCATGTGGAAACTAACAATGAAGAAAATAAAGATGATTACTTGATTCAAAAATACATATTTTATTAAACTTTCTGCTGAAAGATAAATACAAAATCTGTCCTTCAACATTTAAACCAAGGAAAGATCAGATAAAAGATAACCTTTTTCACATTGTCAAGTAGGGATGGGTATCGTTCAGTAGCATGGCGTGGGGGAAAAAATAGGGGAAGCCAATAATACGTCCTTTCTTTTGGGTCGGGGGTGTGGTGGTCAATGTGATAACGTAACCAGATGAGTGCTTACAGCACCTGGTATCATTTGACACACATTTGTATCATACAGATGCAGGACTTACACACGCCTGTTATCTAACCGACAGGTCCGCACGCACTCTCCAGCCGAAACTCTAATAAGCATTCATTCCAGGGGCGGATCTACCGGGGTGGCATGTTGGCACCTTTGTTTTGAAAGAAAAGTTGTGGCTCATCGGACATTTATGAGACAAAGTCTCTAATGTCCGAGTGCAAGTGAATGCAGCACAAGATGCACGTCATGTAACCCCTCCCCCGGTCCTGGCGCGAGAGTTGAAATATTATTGGTGGCGAATTCACTTGAACGGGGGGACGGCGCAAAACAAGAAGCCTTTCGGACCCAAGCACTGAAGGAATGAGGTAGTTGCGGTCTACAATGACAGAGAAGAGAATGTCAAGTTTGGCTGTACTCAGCATTGAATCAAAACGCACTACAGCTGTTGATCTTAATAAGTTTGTGAGGCGTTTTGCTGAACAAAATAGTAATCGCCGCATTCAGCTGTAATAGACATGCCAACTTGATGCTCTGCTCACGGATGACTCGATGAGAATAACAAATTGTTAAGATGATGACCTTGTATGCGTGTATATATTTTTTTCTTTGAGGGGGTCTGCCCCCAAAAAACTGTTTTAAGTCCTGAGAAAGTAAAATAAGACGGTGTGTAAAACTACACTGCCCAGCCAACAGAAAGTAACCATTTTGATGTAACTAGGCCAGTAGGTAAGGACCAGTGGCAGCGCTAGGGGTGGGTACTTGGGCTCAAGCCCCGGATGTTTTCTGAAAAGCCCCGGATGTTTCACTTAAAAAAAAAAAAAAAAAATTCAAATAATTTTTTGAAAACGTCTCGGGAGTAATGTGCAGTACCGGAGTCCACCAGAGAGGCAGCCACTGTGGGACATTAGCCTGCGTAGCCTGCCCTGAAGAAGAAGTGATCCTTCCTAGTGCCTGTGTCAGTACCAGATATGTTCGGCCTACCAAATATGTTCGGGTGTATTTCCGTCGCATCCGTCATCCGTCATATCCGTCATATACTCACCTCCCTCTGCTCCCAGCGCTATGCTGCCACACACCGGCCGTCTGCGGAACTGCAGCCGGAGGAACTCGGTACAGCTTGTTATGTGTGTGTACTTAATTATTTACAATTAAAAAATATATATATTCTGCGTTACTTTAGCCAACACTTTTATAATATATAAGCCTGATCATGTCGTTGAAAGCAAGTACAGATGTTCTCCTCTTTTCCACAGTTCTGTGTGAACTTCATCTAAGGTAGATGCTTTGCTTCTGCACCAGTTTAGCAGAAGTCTGTTTGTAAGACTGGTTTTGTTGCAGTCTGTTCATGCTATGTGTTTCTTGCGTAAGACTATATACACACGGAACACATTATTACAGGGCTGTACCCAGTTGTGCTCATAAAACATTTTTGAAGCTTATTTTTTTTTAAATTAAGCCGTTTCCATGTTATAACAGCATCTCGTTAATCAATATCGGAAACAATAATTGTCTTTTTGGTTATTTAAATGTAATTTATGGTGCTATTAGAGTGCTTATAGACTGACCCGTTAATACAGATGCCCCCCCCCCCCCCCCCCCCCCTTTGTGTGCGGTGAGCTGGAGAGAAGCAGTCTATTTATTTTGGTGAAAAAAAAACCCCTAACATATATGGATTGATCAGAATTGTGTTGGATCAAAACATATTGTACATTTTGAGAATTCTTACATCTATTACAATACATTTTGAGCTTTGGACAATGTTTGGATCAAACGAGCCAGAAAACAACCTTAAGCAGCCACCACTGGAATATATTGCAGTAATATCAATACTACTAGTAGCCTTATATTAGTGTAGCCTAATATTGATCGCAAATATTTAGAATAATCTGGTTCTGCCTGCCTGCCTCATCGCACTATGCCCTGCTGCATTACCATGTATAGTATTTACATTCATAATGATCCTTTTTTGTTGGCCGAGCTTTAGAGGCTTTAAGAGACGAACTGTCAATGATGCCAACTTGGCGACCTACAAACTAGATATAGCAATCTTGGAGCTATTGCGGCTAGCTACTTTCATTGGAAAGAGTCTCTAATTTTTTGTATGTATATATTTCATATATCCATCCCAAGCTTACCTACCCAACTGAATGAATTCACCATTCAAGTAATAGAAAGACAGCACAGCATTCAAGTGTTATTGAGAATTTGAACTTCAACGTTAATGGAAAAAGCTCCAAACTTTTCTCTACAGCCCTTAGTATCAAGAAATCCTTCTAGTTCCTTTTACATGTGGATAGGAAAACAGCACAGTTGTTCAGAATATAGAGGAAGCCATCAGGGAAGCAGCATGACCCAAGGCAGGACTGCAGAGACAGGTTCAGCCACGACCCGAAGTCCACGACCCGAAGTCCACGACCCGAAGTCCACGACGGGCAGCGTCCGGGAAACCAAACTTGAAGGTAAGATATCAAATGATGATCTTCATTAATTGCAGTGACAATTTAGTCTATTCTGACATTTGTTTGTGTGAGTTAATCTTTACCTATGATATCTGGTTGCAGAAGGGACTGCAAGACCTGGATGTTGGTCATCAGAGTAGATGCCCTGCAATTCTCCTCTTTTACCTTTCCCAACAATCCTATGAATAGAAAAAGAAAATATTGAATTGAATCACACTAGGACCACAACACTAATATGTAATGACACATAAACATTATTATCCAGAATAAGAAGTCTACCTGGTTTGCAGTTTTTGTAAGGCTCCAAGCATCCACGGCAAGGTGTCAATGGTGTACATGACGTTGAAATCCTGCTTGTATGAAGCAGAGAACAAACTCCATGTAGCAACACCTGTGTAAAACAAGCATTTCAATAGAGCCATTAAAAATATGCATAGACACCACAGCTGTCGTATACTGCTGCACCTTCACTGAATCACTTACTCTCAAGCCAGCGAAAGTGGGCCCCTCTTCTGAAAGACACAGTGGACATGTGTCTCTGAAGGTGGTACACACTAGAGTGAGTGATGAGTACGCTTTGTCACCTTCCTGGAGAACCACTTCCATCAGAAGGTCCGAGAGAAGACAGTTTGGCATCTGTGAAGTATTGGTCACTAGATCAAACATATTTAACAACACATTGACTAGACTGTTGCCAGCACAATCGAAATACCACCAAGATTCTTTGGGCTTCAGGTAGCAAAAAGACACATTTTTAATATTAATGTTGAATATATCACACACATTTTTCTTATGTTTTTGTTATTCCTCTCCTTGAGGTAAAAAACAGCTATCAATAGTTAAAAAAGCAGTGAGACATAATAGTTGGAAATTCTGCCGTGATCACAGGTCGTTTTTTAAACAAAAAAGTTACTGCTTCACTGAAAAGATATTACCTCCAATAAGAAGCACATGTCGGACTTTTGAAACTGGACCTTTGAAGGAAAATATAAGGTGTGGGTCATGTGATTGTTTAATTACATGTGTATACAATTATCAATATGTATGCATGTGTTAAATAATCTGGATCTGTCCGTGGCTATATACAAAAATCACATAATATCAGGATGAAAATGTAAATCAGTGTCAAAAGAACTGTTGTCTATAAAGTAACATTTAAAATGTAGATTTACCCTTCAATCTGGTACCGTTCCATGAGCATAATGCACCACCATTTCCGGATCTGTGCTATGTCCCGCTAAAAAGAAAATGTAACAATAATAAAGTTGAAAATGATGGAAACCTCATCATTTGTCTACTCAATGTTAGCCCCCTCTTCCCCCTGAAATACTAACTCAGAGGATAAATACTGACCTCGGTAAACCAAAGTAGAGCATCTGTGCTGAAGTTGAGTGCATACTGTGAAAGGATAAAGATCTGTTAAGTTATGAGTTTCAAAAACTAACAAAACCCCTTAAAAAAAGTGTCAAGGGAGGAATTTACCATCAGTATGAAGACACCACAGTCATTGCCCGTGGTTTGGTGAGGCTAACCCTGTAAGAATTTGGAATATAACAGTGATGTTCATGGTCAAATGGAAAATAAAGACATGTGAAAGCAGGTGTATGAGATGGTGGAGAAATGTACCTTGACGTCTCTGCCGCAACTTTACTGTCCACTGACCTGCAATGCGGTGCGCTAGGTCACTGTCAAAAGAAATGATAAGACATGGGAATTGATTTGGTGAAGGAACGCTATACACAATATAATTCATGTTTTTGGATTTCCTTACATTGAACTATTGCATGCCTTAAAAGAGGAAAGTTATGAAAGCCACTGAACGGGGCTAAAATAAAACAAACAAAAATACGTTTACCACCGCGAACAAAGCTGAACTTGAAAACAACCTTTGAACAAGGCTTATAACAAAATGAATATTATAATTCATAGCATCCTGTTGCAGACTCTTTTCTTTGTTCCACTAAGGACACTCCAGACTTTGTGGAAATGGAGATATATTATAAATGAATTGATCAGATTCAGACCCCTGGTCTACAAGATGGTTACTTGCAGTATTAGAATACTATAAACTATTTAGAACTCCCATACAAGCCACAGAACGGTGAGGGGGTAATCATGTTACAAAAACCTAAATATGTCCTTGTAGGAATTGTCCCCAAAGCCATCTGGCTTAAGAGGGTCGAGCAAATATAACTCTCTCTTTGCTGGCTTGATCACCTGTCAACCATTGACAAAATAGCTGAAATTAGACATAATCAAACACCAGAAGAAAACCACACAGCACAACTTATGTTCATTTTGTACATGCTGGTGAGATCATTTGGAACAGACTCACGCAAAGCAAATAGTGATCTGCCTTTCCTTGCTGCCGACTCCAGGCAGGGATGAAAACCATGTCCTTGGTGGCCAATTGGTCAGCCTAGTATTTTAAACAAGGGATTTTAAGTTGCTGTATATCAATTTCAAGAAACATAGGTCTCAAGCAACAGGAACTTACTGGAAAACTGGCCAACACGTCAGCTGTTTTGGACTTCCAGTAGGAACCACATACATATCCACGATGTATATATCTTTGCCCTATATTGATAGTTTTTCAAAAAAAATGAAATCTTCATAGAAGTATGTTCAACAACAAGAGACAACCACACTTCACGAGATTGGAGTTTCACCACTAAACAGCTATTTAGAAATATGTGTTATTCAAAAGAAAAGCAGGCCAATGATGTCTGTTGAAAACCGTACATGTCTTTGGGTGGCTTCTTGTACCATCTTCAGGCACGTGTTTCCAATCTGAAACAGTAACAACAGTAAGTTACCTGTGCCATTTATTTGAGACAAGATGAAGTTGGGAGGAAAGCTCAAGTATACCTACATTTGACTCCATGCACTGAGGAAGACCAGGCTCCAAAAGTCCTCTCTGGTCAGGCACACATCACCCTCCTTCACAATGACCTCTGCTCCAGCCTATTGTGGTCTAGCACATAGCTGAGCTGCAAATAACAGATTGCAAAACATACTTCAAGCCAATAGAAAACATAGAAAAATTAAAAATCAAAACAATGCACCCCATCACTGTGCATGAATAAACATATATCTACCAGCTTGTCTGAATCGGATGTAGATCCTTTGCGTATTTCGCCCCAGAGAGGGCATACTGGTGGTCAGCAACAGACCCCTCCGAATCCAACTTCGGTTCAGCTGTTATTATAGACAAAAAATAAACAGTATTATTGAAGTACCACACATGAGTATACCTAAAATGTTCCTTGTATTGATAATCAAAATACCTCTCAACATAGGCCTGATAAAGGGCTTCAGCTGAGACACATTCACACTCTGTCTCAGCTGAGCTCCTGTTGAGCTCAACAGGGTTGCCACACCCTTGTTGGTGATTGAGGAAACCACATAAGGCCAAACCAGTTGCACTCCAGTTTTCCACCTTTCGGCCCTCCTTCCTCTTATTCGCTCTTAGGACCTCATCTCCAACGTTAATCAGGAAAGATTTCACATTCTTTCCCTTGCGTTTTTCAAAAGAGATTTTCTGTCTCTGTTGTGCTATTTGGATGTTTCTGGTAAATCTGAGAAAGATATGTAACAGTTATCATTTACAGTCCTTAACATACGCTTGCATTTTTTAGGAGTTATTATTTTTAAAATTGCCATTTTATTCTCACCTTCGAGTGCAAATCTGCAATGGTTGCAGCCTTTGCCTCAAGCTGCTGTTCTGCCTCATCAGCAGGCACCAACACAGAGGTATCATCCCTGTCATTGACTGTAGCATTTATAACACCCGGGACGCGAGGGTGCCTCCCAAAACTGGGCAAAATAGGGCGTGCACTTGGTTGACCTCTGAAAGCATAAAAATTCCTTTTAGTATCTCTGTTGAGTATTGTTTCCATCTGCATTTGTTACAACATTGTACCTGCTTGAGGTGTTAATGCTCGCCACAATGCCCCTCAGATGTAATCCCAGTCATTCTGGTCCTCTCCACAGTACTTTGCAAGTGCTTTTTTATGTTTGGGTTTGTACGCTCATCTGGCCATTGCACTGGGGATGGTACGCTGAAGTGATGCAGTGTTTTACACCCAGTGCATCAAAAACACCACGGTTGACCTGCAGATGGTTTGTGTACACCAATTACCAAATTACCTGAAAAATCGTATTACATTGTTACACATAACACATACACTGTATTAGATAGATTATTGTACCTCATTGACAAATTCCCGTCCTTGGTCGGTAATGATCTTCTCGACAAGACCGAAATCTCGAAGAATATCACAATCTTTTTTGAGACCTCAACAGCTGTTTTGTGGTAGAGCGTTTTTGCTACCACCCACTTCGTGAACAGATCAGTCGCTGTTAGAATGTATCTGCAATATAAAATGCAGAATGTTGTAAATACATACAGAATCACTGTAATGATTTCCTTTCTTTTAAACCAGATTCTTCACGTTTAGAAACCTTTAAAGGAGGTTACACATGCTTCAGCCCATCATGATAGTACCTTTTGCCCTTAGCAGTGGAGGGAAGTGGGCCAATGAGATCCACACCAAGGACAGTCCATGCCTCGGGAACATGAATGGGATGCAGTACGGGTCAACCGTTTTAATGACCTCGTGTTGCTGGCAGCGGGGACACTCATCAACCCTTAGCAAATATCATACATTTCAATCAGCAAAACAAAAAACTTTAGGTATAAAAATGATAGAACAGAGAAAACTTTCAGAGGAGACAGAATTAAACTGTTAAAGTTCTGAAATATGTTTTCTCTGCTCTGATGGAGCTCAAACTGTCTCACTCTGTTTCAATGTACACATACAACACATTCTGTAGATCAATAATCAGTCAGTCAGTCAAAAACTCCCACCCATTTCTTCACGTCCTCCCGCATAGTGGACCAGTGGTACGTTGCCAAAACCTTCTCGGTGGTGCGCCTTCTCCCTGCATGACCTCCGGAACCCAGGTTTCATGGCACTCCTTCAGGACATTGATAATTTGGTCCTTGGTGCACACAACCATCCTCTCATTGTCCTTGTATGTGTAGTACAAATCTCCAGCTGGCACAACAGGAACAAAAAAACAATCATTTAGACATGTGTAGAGATGACATTATGACTAAAAGCTGTTCAAGAAATCCAGTGGCAAATGTGGTTTAGACGTAACAACTACAGTAATGTAAAGTGTGTATAAAAAGAAAAAGGAGAAACAAGCTGTGGAGTCCTTGCGATTTACTGAAAAATGTTGGAATTGCAATATGATAAACCATTAGAGGTATGATCACTTTTGCACCAAAAAACACCATTAGATAAATAGATAGATAGATATATACTTTATTGATCCCTATAAGTAAAGGGATGTGATGATGTCACATGTACAGGGGGTTTATACCTCATAATAAAAACGTATGTTCGTGACTTAACCATGGTCTTATTCTGTTACTTACCTTTGATCAGGTATTGTTTGGATGCCCTCCGAATGAACGCCTTCCTTTTATCATGCTTTTCAGCGGCGATGGTGAGATTGTGGTAACCACCATTGAGCACGTACTGCTTTATCTCAGCATAAAAGCTCTCCATTTCTGTCATGAAAGTTAAAATGTTCGCGGTAATTATGGGGAAGCGGAGGGATCTAGATCGTTCACACATAACAAGCTGTACCGAGTTCCTCCGGCTGCAGTTCCGCAGACGGCCGGTGTGTGGCAGCATAGCGCTGGGAGCAGAGGGAGGTGAGTATATGACGGATATGACGGATGACGGATGCGACGGAAATACACCCGAACATATTTGGTAGGCCGAACATATCTGGTACTGACACCTGACGAGTTTTAAGCTAATAGCATATACAGTTATGGATATTAGAAAGTTATTGTCATCGAAGCAGCCGGCGCCACAAGCTGCTGCAGCAGCAGTATCAGCAGCTGACAACAATGTCATCACCAGCAGTCAAGAAATGGATGATGTTTCAGGTTTGTTAATCTAATGGTGATATCTGCACTCTGGCTGACTGAGTAAGAAGTGAAAAAGAGTGATGTAACGTTAATGTTATAGCTAGTAAACATTAGCGAGTAACCACACTAAGTATACCCTTATATGTTAGTATGTATACAGAACATGACTAAAAATTATCCTAAGATGTAACGTTAACCCTTCATAACTCAGTCTACTTTTAAGACACTAAAATAACGTATTCCAATTTTTATTTTGTTTTCACGAGTGAAATTATACCGGCTCTCGTTTCAGTACACATAACAACAGAACTGACAGGCAACCCTCTGAATCAGACTCCGATTGGCTGTGACTGCATCCACTCAGAGTGTCCGATTCAGAAACGTGACTCTTACACTCTTTACGTCACAAACAAAGATGGTGGATGAGAATAGATCTATAAAACGATAAGCAATGCGCCGGAATCAAGGTGAGACTATCCGCATCCTTTAAAACTCTACGCACATTCGTTTCACCTTAATAAGTAAACGACTATTTGAGCGAGTTAAGGCATTAGTTTGCTTCATTAAAGGGTGTTAATGAATGTTCTCCAGTGCCTTTTGTCCGCTTTAAGGTGTTATTAAGGTAGGGTTAATGTTGCTCTCAAAGTGTACCAGATTGATGCTTTCAACT